TGATGCTGCTTGGCCTGCTGTGTTCATCCAGCTCTACACCTTGTTATCTCTGATGACTTTTCTAGTGCCTTTTGCCTGTAACCCTGCACCATTTTTTATCTATCAAAATCCCATTCAATGCCCTCTTGAACTTGCCTCCACTACCATTTTCTAGATAGTGCATCCTAGACCCTAATAACTGACTGTGCAAGAACGTTTCTTCATACACCACATTTACTTCTTTTCCAAATTAAATCTATGCCCTCTTATTCATGATCCTTTTTCCAACAGTGCTTTTTTCTCCTGGTATTCTGCCTAGAACCCTCATGATTTTGAAGACTTCTATCAAACCTTCTCCTGCCCAAGGAGATTAGGCCCAACATCGTCAAAATATTTTCAAAGTTGAAGTTTCTCATTCCTCGAACCATACTCTCAAGCCTCTTGTGCAGAACTAACAATGTGCACACATAAAGTGTCACCCCTCCAAACCCCTCTGATATCTGCAGGACCATGGGGGAAATGAAAGGGAGTTTACACTGTAGGTAGGATGACGCAGGAAGTGTTATAACTGAGGCATTTATAATGAGGATTTTTTATTTACTCACATGACGTGAGCATTCCTGACTGGATCAGCATTTATTGCCTATACCTAGTTGCACTCGTAAAGGTAGCAGTGAGTCGCTCCCTTGACCTGCTTTGTTGATGAGGATGATCTCAGGTATGGAGGAATTCTGTTATGATCAAAGAGAAATCAGGTTGGGGACTCATTGGAATTTAGGAAAATGAGAAGTAACACATTGAAACATATAGGATTCTTAAGGGGCTTGACAGGTTAAATGCTGAGAGGATGTTTCCCCTCAATGGATAGTCTAGGACCAGAGTGCAAAGTCTCAGAATAAAAAGGTGCTGATTAAGGCTGAGATGAGCAGGAAATTTCTTCTCTCAGAAGGTCTTGAGTCTTTGGAACTCCTTGCCACAGAGAGCTGTGGGGCAGAGTCCTGTGTATATTTAAGGCTAAGGCAGATGGATTCTTGATCAGTCAGTGAATCAAAGGCTATGGGGAAAGGGCAGGAAAATAGAAATGAGTGTCAGATCAGTCACAATCCTATTGAATGGAGGAATAGGCTTAAGGGGCCTATTAAAAAAAACTCTTGCAGTCCTTTGGGTGCAGATATACCCACAATGCTACTAGGGAGGGAGTTTCAGGATTTTAACCCAGAAGGAACAGCAATATGTTTCCAGATAAGGATGGTGAGGGTCTTGGAGGAGAACTTGCATGTTGTGGCGTATCTGCTGCACTTGACCTTCTAAATTTGATTTGATTTGAATTTATTACTGTCACATGTACTGAAATACAGTGAAAAGTGGAAGTGGTTGTGGTTTTGGAAGGTGCCATCTAAGGATTTTTGGTGTATTTCTGCAGTGCATCTTGTAGATGGTGCACACTGCTGCTACTGAGCGTCGGTGGTGGAGGGAGTGGATGCTTGTGGATGTGGTGCCAGTCAAGTGGGCTTTTTCTCTTGGATGTATCAAGCCTCTTGAGTGTTGTTGGAGCTGCATCCATCCAGGTAAGTGGAGAGTGTTCCGTCACACTCCTGACCTGTGTCTTGTAGCTGTTGCAAAGGCTTTTGGGGAGACAGGAGGTGAGTTACTCACCGCAGGATTCCTGGTCTCTGAGTAGGCATTGTATTTATGTTCACTTCCTTGTCAATGGTAACTCCCAGGATGTTGATAGTTACAAATATTATTTGCCACGTGTCAGCCCAAACCTGGATATTGTCCAACACAGAGAATGCTGGAGAAACTCAGCAGGTCTGGCAACATCTGTGGCGAGAGACACAGAGGTAACGTCTTGAGTCATATTGTACTCAAAACTCAGTTTCTCTTCCCACAAACACTGCCTGACTTCCCGAGTTTCTCC